CATAAATGAACATTTGCACGATATTCTAATTTTTCGAGTTTCACCTGTATATACTTTGGGACTTGGTAAAGTCCCTTTACCAAACTTGGTAAAAATAATACATTTTAGAGAGAGTATAGTAATACACTACAAAATAGTTATGGGATAATATTCTCTATTCTTACCAAAATAACATAAGAATCTAAAGCACTGAAGACAGTACTTCATTAAAAATTATTTTGCTGTCCAAGCAGTCATGGAAGAAGACAAGAAGTTGACCTCTTCCTTATGCAAGTTGCAATTTTTTCCTAGTGGCTCTTTGATGTATTGCAAGGAGTAGTAAACAGGGTAAGGGACTAGAGCTGCAAATATCAGTAGACCTTTATGTAACTTATTTTATGTTAAAATATGCATCCTGCTACTTATAGTAAAAGCTGCTTTGCGTATAGAACATCCCAGTTCCAGACTCTGGTATCTGGAGTGTTGTCATTGTTATTATTAAGCTGGATAGGTTGTTCTTGACTGATGGCCAACTGGAGTTTGTGCAATGTATTATTCCTTTGGTGACAGCATATCAGTGCCCCATTATTATTGGAAAAAGAATACCAAATTATATGTACACTGATGGTAAACAAGCAAACAAAGTAGATATTTTTCTGGTTAGGTCAACTTCAGGTTTGAAATTTTAATTTCCGATTTGTCTGATGCTCTTCTGACTGTTTTGATTAGTGTGCTGTTGAAAGTAATTGACACAAAGTAAGTAAAATGGGAACCCTAACCCAACATAAACATAATAGGAATTTTTATCAAGTGGATTTTTAATAATCTTATATGATTTGCATCAGCTGGCATTAAAAAGTTGTGGCTATAAAAGAATACAATTCTAATCTCTGTATGCTGTTTTATAGTTTTACTTTCAGGTCATATGCTGTGTTTGAACAATATTATATTTAAAACTAAAGAGCCCTCTAGTGAAATTGACTTAAAATTGCTACATTTTTTCCCTCTTTCATTATTTAGTTGCAGTGCTTCTTAAAAAGCATTAAACTTGCAACCTATTTCTTTAATAAGAGAAAAGCTAAATAAATCATCATCCAGAAAACAAAACAGTTATCTAAATTGCACATGCATGTAACTCTGGTATATTACAGTACTTTAAAATTCTTCTTTAAAACTTTCAAGTCTAATCATTTGGAAGAATCAAATCAATTCTTTCACAACATTATGAAGCTACTTTACATGACACAGCCCTATTAGCAAGGAGTTTTAGAGGATTTTTAAAAATTAATAGATGTGTACAATAATTAAAAGGAGCTAGAAGGAAACACTATCATTAACAAATTATAATATTTGCAAAATTCTGAATTGTAGCTATTCTGAAAATTCATAGTTTGTAGATGTTAAAATGTTCAATAGTAATGGAAGATCAGCATTAATTCATAATCTGAAATAATTCCTAGTAAAACTTTGACTGTTAAATACCAAGAGCATGTTCTTTTTGGAATTCTTGAAGGAATGATTCCTTAGATTTGGACTTTATCTCTAGGATCCACTTATAATTAATGTCATGGTTTAGCTAATTAACAGCATATCATTTAAATTATATGAATCAAATTAAACATATAAAATGGAATCTGGTCCATCTGATATGAATACTACACCAATAAGTAGGCATCTTGTTTTAGAGAAAAGCAACGTTTTGGTGTTATGCAAAATCATGGATTTCTGTGCATGCATAGGTGGGAAAAGTTTGGAAGCTCCCAGTTCTAGTTAATTGTAGCATACCGTATGAATTATAATTATTAACTATTAATTTCAGCAATTCAGTAGTTGATTGGTTTCCCATTAGGCAGAGTTATTATGTATTTTTACTCCAGACATTATGAGAAACTACTGTTAACAGATGAGCATGAAACTGAGCAAACCTCAGGGAGGCAGTGAAGGACAGGAAGGCCTGGCGCAATATGGTTCATGGGGTCACGAAGAGTCGGACACGACTTAACGACTAAACAACAACAACTGTTAACAGAAAGTGAAGGCTTCCAAATTCCATCTCATGGCTCATTCTTTAAGTCACTCTACATGTTCTAATGCAAATGGACAGTTAGTTATGTTTTAACTGATCATATAGTATTTCAGAACATTGATACGTTATTGATATTTCCCGTATCTTCCTGTAAAGTTTAAGGTGGACTGACAATATATGATTATATATACTGATTCTGATAAAATAATCCCATACCAATTAAAAATGTAACACTGCAGCAGTAAATTAATATTAGATACTTGGAAACTTCTACTAAAATAAGAATACTTTGCTAGTGAGGATTCCTAGATGATGTTTGCTCTGTTGCTTTGCAACTGCTAATGACTAGGAGTTTCCAAACCCATACATGTAAATAACCTTTTGATTTTCTGGAATTTTTTGTCTGAACTGAATTTCACCTGTTAACCTTCATCTACTTGATTGCGGCCTCCAAAAGTTGGTTCAAAACAAATACCATTTTTTGGACAATTTATAGATACAGTGACATTTCCATTTACATATTCACACTAATATTTGTTGCATTAAACATGTAAAGTGGAGGTGTACACAAAGTGGAAAACATGTGTCATGGATGCTTGGCTGGACTGTCCTATGCAAGTCATGCTCTGGATGAACCTGAAATCTGCAATATTTTAGTTACTCCTGGATTTTTTCAAGAACAGTCCAGTCGGCTCTGGAAGTAGGGCAAGGCTGACACAGCTCACCCCTCTCTCTGCCCAGTGATCTTTGCAGCACCTTATCTCCCTGCTACCATTTTGTACTGAGCACAGTATATGTGACTGGTCCATCCTTTTCCCCATCTTTCCAAAGCTTTCCTTCCCTGCAGCTGCTATCATCCTGTGTGACCAGGCCACTTGCCATCACCTGATCTTCCCATTTCCTCCTTCCCTATAGCTGCCATTGCCAAGCTTGAATTCAGGAATGGGATACTCAACTGGCCCACCTACCCACCCCTCCCTGGATCTTTGCATCACCTTCCTTACCCTTATCTCTGCTTAGTTGCCACATACACATTGCCACTGATGGCTTTATTTTTTCCTTCTGTCTCTTATCCTAGAACCCCTGTGTCTGGAATACATGTGTACTGGGTCCATGCCTGGATGAAATACATGTGTTATGATCCAAACATGGACCACCCAGTTCTGCCTGTTCCGTGTACAGGATAGTCTGTGCGTCTGTGTAGATATAGCTTATATAAATGGTTAAGAAGAGACATGCCTTTCCAAAAATCTAGAGACATGGTAAGGCCATATTCCAAGGAGCTGATAGGCAAACATTGAAGGATGCATTCAAAAACTTGATTACTTTTACAGATACTTCACCAACTCTGTGATCAAATCATGACTTAGTGCTTCTGTATGATTAGACATCAAGCGAATGGGAAATTTGCTGTAAAGTATTAATTAATAAGTATGTTGGTTCTAGGAGTAGGATATGGGTGTTTAAGTTTTCCATAGTTTTCCCATTGTGCTGTATTGCTTCTATTTTCTCACGGTTCTCAATAATAAACTTTTCCAGTGGATGGTGTAGTCTTATAGACAAAATGTATTTTCTGTTTCTTTTAGAAAACTGTAACTACAGCTTCTATGATCACCACTAAGACACTACCTCTCGTTCTGAAAGCAACAGCAACCATGCCTGCCTCTGTTGTGGGTCAAAGACCTACAATTGCCATGGTGACTGCCATCAACAGCAGCCAGAAAACTGTCCTTAGCACTGATGCACAGAACACGCCTGTCAACCTCCAGACAACAAATAAAGTCACTGGTCCAGGAACAGAGGCAGTACAAATAGTGGCAAAAAATACAGTCACGTTGGTAAGCAAGCACTCGAACCATTTTCATAATAAACACATAAACTTCTATGTACTAGAGAATATAGTATATTTTCTATACTTTGAGAATATACTTTATATTTTGAAGCTTTGCTTTAATTACAATTAGAAAATAAGCTTATTTTAGAAATTTTCAATTTTAATTACTATTCCAAGAGTAGATTAATATTGTTACAGTACCACACAGTTATATATCCTTAATGTGTGTTCCAGTAATGTGTTAAGTTGTTCCTTTATGAGTCTTACTCTACTTGCCGAAAGGACACCAATTTCATAATTTTGATTCTAGAAGCTTATGCTTGGAGATTCTTTATCCAAATGGTGTAACTTCTGATATAGATTACTTTTTCAGTTTTGTTGCGTATGAAAAAAAACACAAAGACTTGCTTAACTTTGTGAAATACTACTGCCTCTGGTTCCACAAAAATGGTACTTTGCACAATTAGTTCTTGGCAGCATTTTTTCAACCAATTGCCTTAGCACTTACAACCTCTGTTACAACCAAGGATCAGTTGACAAAGTATCAAGCAATTGAAACTTGTTAAAATGTAAAATTTAATTTTGAATGTGAAGTTAGCTATTTAAGCAAATGCAATTTGGCTTGGAAATATAAAACTGATTATCAGTTTAGTATCTGAGCCATCTGAATGTTAACATTTGAGAATTAATCCAGAAATGCAGCTGTAAGTAAATCTACTTATAGTCTTAGTATTCTAGTAATAAATTACCTATGTGTTCCTGGACAATAAAGAAAATAACTCATTGTGCAAAGCAGTAAACTTTTGGGCTATTTTGAATATGAATGCTTAACATGGTTAAACTTCTTGTGAAACACCATTTGAATGGGCAACAAAACTGATAATATATTCTAATTATCATAGAGCAACTGGTAATATAAATATGAGAATTCAGAAGGTTCAGATGACTGATACATTTTTAAAGTAATAGCATAGGTTTACATACTTATGAGACAAGCAGAAAGGATTAGCTTCATACTTCCTAAGTAAAACAGTTTCACTCTTCAGAGTCAGTTTATGGTGGAAAGGCTGGCTATCATTACATAACTTTAAAATAATTCATCATACCCTATACCTTTGCTTAAAGCTTCTTTAGTTCCATCGCCACCTGAGCTCACTCCTGTTGTTTAGCAGGTTCAAGCTACAGCTCCTCAGCCTATCAAAGTGCCACAGTTCATCCCTCCTCCCAGACTTACTCCTCGTCCAAATTTCCTTCCACAGGTGAGTCTGTTCAGAATAGATGGCAGCTAATCAAACTGTGTAAAACTCAGTGAATTTTGACTTTGAGGTTTGAAAAAGACAACATTACATATTTCACACATATAGTAATTAGGGCTGTTAAATCTGGGCTGCAAGAATCTGAATGACCAGGAGTGTCATCCAGATTCTTGAGTGACAGCATAAGTTAGCATCATTGCTACAATCTATTGTTGAGTTGGATTCTTGCAGCCCAGATATGGTAGCCAGTAATAAACTCTACCCTATGAGTTCTTTTTCAAATTAAAGCTCCATCTTTGCCATCATGTGGCTGTCATGCCATAGAGCCATGATATTTGTGGGACTGCTTTGCTCCAATTGTTTCTACCCACTTCAGGCCATGTCAATTAAAGAGTGTCATCTGGTGGGATCCAGGAAGTATGCCTTTTCTGTCTTAACACCTGTCCTTTGGAGCACCACCCCACCCAAGATCAGATTGGCCCTGACCCTGCTGGCCTTTCAGAAAGCCTTTAAGATCTGGCTGTTCTCCCAGGCATTGAAATCAGAAAGTTGGCTGAGACTGTGAATGTGGTTAACTGATTGTTGCTGGGCTGTACCCAGTTGTTGTTTTTTTTTGCTTCTCTGTATTTACTATGCTTTTTATTTTGTTTCTTTTGGTATACTGATGTATACCAATTAAGTGTTCACCATCCAGTTGTTGCCACTGTGATGAGTTTATTTGTAGTTTAATTAATGTAATTTGCTCTTACTGTTTTCTAGAAAGGATCAAATTTGTCATGGGAAGATCAGTTGAGCAAATAATTTTCTGAAATAAATCCTCTCCAATGATTAAAGGCAAATGTGTAGCGTTAGTGTAGAAATCCAGATGACCACTGGATTGGAGCAGAAAGCTAGAGTTTTCTTATTGTTTTGCTACAATGTAATGGTTGTCCAGAATTTTGCATCCCAGATCTGATAGCCAAATGTATAACGGTTTATATGCAGTGCTTTGAATGTCTAATAATATTGTTCCTCTCAATAGATGATTCTTACACCTCACTGAAATTATGTTTCTCTTCTTCACCTCTACTCCCTGCTTTTTTAAGAGAACCAGTTTTCCAGACTTCGAAGCATAAAGTCATGAGCATTATATAAAGAACACCCTAATGTGTTAGATTCAACATTTAAAATAATAAGTTATGAATTCCCTTGATTAATGCATACATATAGGGTTAATATAAATGCAGCTGCATTTAATTTATATTTATTTTGCATAGATAATTCCTCTTCAATAAAAAATATACCATTGGAAATCCAGTGTCTTCTAGGGCTACCATATCAGGGCTGCAAAAAACCTAGATGTTCATTTTAATTTTTTATTACAAGGTAACTTATGAACTAATATTATCCCTGTAGTCTGAATAATAGGTACAGGTAGTCCTCGCTTAATGACCATTCGTTCAGCAACTGTTTGAAATTACAATGGCCCTGAAAAAATGGGCTTATGACCCATGCCTGAAGATACAGCCATTGCAGTGCACCTGAGGTCACATGATCAAAATTCGGGCGCTTGGCAGCCCACCCACACTTACTACAGGGGCGCTACAACTCCCCCCACCTGCCTATCTTCTCTCCCATCTATGTTCTTTTGTCCACCATGCACAGTGGTACTTGTCGGCAGCAGTGCCAGGGCTGGGGCTGAAGTAGAGGCCCGAGGCCTTCAGCAATCTCAGCCAGCTGCCACCACCCTCAGGCCTTGACTTCAGCTCCAGTGCTGCTACTGCCACTGAGAAATGCCGCCTCATGCCCCACACCGCTGGCCTTTGCTGCCTCGCACTTTTCCCCAAGCCATGCCTCTCGTTCCTTCCCTAAAGCTGGTGTTCCGTCATCCCATTCTTTCCCGAAGCCATGTGTCCCATACATTCTGCAAGCCACACCTCTTGTTCCTTCCCTAAAGCTGTCCCATTCTTTCCTGAAGCCGCACGTCCCATTCCTTCTGCAAGCCACACCTCTTGTTCCTTCCCTAAAGCTGGCGTCCCATTCTTTTGAGATCTGGGGAAGACAAGGTTTCGGAAGGATTGTGAGAATGGGATGCCAGCTTGCAGAAGTTTTGGGATGCTTTGGGAAGGAATGGGACAATGGGATGACAGCTTTAGAGAAGGAATGAGAGGTATGGCGTGCAGAAGTTATGGGATGTGTGGCTTCAGGAAGGAATAGGGTGACGGGGCAACAGTTTTAGGGAAGGAACGAGAGGCGGGGCTTGGGAAGCAGCATGAGGCAGTGAAAGCCAGTGGTGTGAGGGTTTGAGGCGGCATTTCTCAGTGGTAGCAATGGCACTGGGGCTGAACTCAAGGCCTGGGGGCGGTGGCAGCTGGCTGAGACTGCTAAAGGCCTTGAGCCTCTACTTCAGCCCCAGCTTAGGCACTGCCACCACCGAGTGCCGCTGTGCAGGGTGGCCAGAAGGACACAGATGGGAGAGATAGGCAGGTGGGGGGAGTTGCAGTGCCCCTGCAGTTGTAAGCACTGCTGGGTGGCTGAGGGTTCCAGGGGCAGCTGCAGCTTTGTACTACATTGCACCACTCCCCCAACTCATGCGTTGCCTGCGCCAGCCTCCCAGGGCCTCTCCCACTCCCCAAGGCATTCCTACGCTCCTTATGTGGCACTCCATCTGCTTAATGACCCATGATTCTCACTTAATGATGGCAGCCGGGACTATTGGGATTACAGTTTGCTAAGCGAAGTGGTCACATGATAATTCGCTTAACGACCACATCGCTTAGCAACCTAAATTCTGGTCCCAATGGTGGTCGTTAAGTGAGGATTACCTGTAGGTGAAGTCTTCCTGATGCAGAGACAAGCAACAGTTATAGTTGGAATTAGCCAAGTTTGAGACAGATTTCAAATTAAGTCCTTTTGTGCTGAAGTGTAGGTCTGTGTAACACAAGCATCATTTTGTATTAAGTCATGTTTGTTGGAAATAGTCTGATATGTTATTCTCTTCTCTCTCTCTCTCTCTCTCTCTGTTTCTCTCTCTGTTTAGGTTCGACCTAAACCGGTTGCCCAGAATAACATACCTATAGCCCCAGCCCCACCTCCTCCTATGCTCGCTGCTCCTCAACTTATTCAGAGGCCTGTGATGTTGACCACAAAGTTCACACCCACCTCCTTACCCTCTACACAGAATTCCATACACCCAGTCCGTGTTGTGAACGGGCAAACAGCAACCATAGCCAAAACTTTTCCAATGGCACAACTCACCAGCATTGTTATAGCAGCCCCAGGTACCAGGCTTGCTGGACCTCAGACTCTACAGATCAGCAAACCAAATGTTGAGAAGCAGGTACAGCTGGAGGAATGCTGTTTGGTTGGTCTGTATTTTTATTTACAGCCCATCAGAACCATTACAATTTGCTTGCTTTGTTTTACTTCTACCTCAGTATACAGCTTTCATCAGCAAAAATATGTTCCCATTATTTTGCTAACATTTCTAATGAAACTGACTTGTAAGTGAGGTAACAATTTTGCAACAACCTTAAATTTATCATTGGTTACAGAAAGGGTATTTAAATAATTTGCAACCTAGATAGTCGAAAGACCATAGCCCTAACATCAGAAGTTGTCATTTTTTTCCTGGGTAATGCATCTTCTTTAAGCTGATTTTGAAGCCTGCTGATTTGAATTCTCAGAATTACAGGTGAAACTCGAAAAATTAGAATATTGTGCAAATGTTCATTTATGTCAGTACGGC